CACTATGTAGACCAGGCTGGTCTTGAACTCACAGAGATCCACCTGTCTCTGCCTCCCAAGTGCTGGGATTAAAGGCATGTGCCACCACACCTGGCCCCCTAGCACAAGCTTTTAATCCTACACTTGGGAGGCAGAGGTAGGGGGATCTCTGTGAGATTGAGGCCAGCCTGGTCTCCATAGTGAGTTCCAAGACACTTGGGGCTACACAGAGACCCAAGAAAACAACAAAAAAGAATATGGGGGTCTGGATCGATGATGGCTCAGGGAGAAAGAGTGCTTGCTGCACAATTATGAGGATCTGAGTTTAAATTCCCAGCCCCATGTAAAAAATCAGTGTGCTCCTGTAACTCTAGCACTGTGGAGGGCAGAGACCAAAGATTGCTGGGGCTTCCTGGTTGCCAACCTAGCTCCAGGTTCAGCGAGAGACCCTGTATCAATGGAATAAGGCACAGAATGATAGAGAGGCACACCCAGTGTCCCCTGGCCTCCAAGTGCAAGTACCTGCTCATATGAGCATATACATAAATCACACATGCACACCATATACATACACAAAAGGAAATGAGGGAAATGAAGCAGTTGGGCATTTTGGTGCATACATGTAATCCCAGCTCTAGATGCAATAACAAAAAAAAGAAAGGACATGAGTAAAATCTTCCAAAGGGAGATAGTGGTCTTGTACACCCAGCTTGGATGTGTTTTAGGGACTGTGCAATAGTGCCTGCTGTCCACAGTGGTGCTGTGCTAGAGGTAGGTCAACTCCTGGCCTACTGCAGCTGAAAGTCTGATATCCCAGGACTTAGGGAAAGCTGGGGGGTCGGGGGATGTTGGACCTAGAGCAATCAGAGACATTGAGGGCTCAGACTGGGACTGGGATGGGGCAGGCAGAGGGGAAACAATGGAAGTAGGTACTGTTTCCATAGAAGATTAGCTGCACATTTCAATGCCCATAACTCCCAACTTCAGTCCTTAAACATCAGCCCTCAGATAAGCATGTAAAGCCAACTGTGGAAATACAAACACACCCAGACCCTAAGAATACTTAGGGCCATGTAAACACTTATGCTCAAGTGGTGAACAGGTTTTAGCCAACTGGATGGGTTGACTATCCTTTAACCTTATCCAAGGACATTTCTATGACCTTCCTCTTATAGGGGAAACAAGAATACATGATTGAAACCCTGTCCTGTGAACCCCTGACCCTAGCACCAGTGTCATAAACCTGAGCACACTGGCAATGGCTATGACAAAAGTTGTCCATATGGAGCCAGGCAAGGTGGCTTATACCTGTAATCCCAACACTTGGAAGGCTGAGGAAGGAGGATTAACACTGCCTTTTTCAAGGCCATCTTGGGCTGCATAGTAAGTTTTTGGCCGGGCTGGGCTACAGAGTAAACCACTGTCTCAAAAAGAAAAGTTGTCAAATTCTGATAGTAGGTAGAAATTGAAACAGGGTTAAAGCAGAATGAAATTTCACAACTGACTCTAGTGTTATCTTTTATTACCTTTTCTCATCTCCCCTGAATCCCATTGAGGCATTTCCATTAATTTTATTTCGTTTAAAAATATTTTATTTATTATTAATATTATTATTTTTGTGTGTGTGCCTTTTTAAGAAAGGGTCCCCCTGTAGCCCCAGCTGTCCTGGAACTCACTATGTAGACCAGGCTGGCCTTGAACTCACAAAGATCCGCCTGCCTCTACCTTCCAAGTGCTGGGATTAAAGGTGTGTGCCACCACGCCCGGCTTATTATTTTTATTTGTATGAGTATATTGCCTGAACGTGTGTAGTGCACCCGTGTTATGCAATGCCCGAGGAGGTCAGAGGAAGGCATCAGATCCCCTGGAACTAAAGCTACAGATGGTTGTTAATCACCATGTGGGTGCTGGGAATTGAACCCGGGTCCTCTGCAAGAGCAGTCAGTGCTCTTAACCACTGAGCTATCTCTCCAGTCCCTGGTTTTTATTTATTTATTTTTTGGTCTTTTTAAAAAATATTTTATTTTATTATGTGTATGAGTGTATTGCCTGCGTGTAAGTGAGTGCACCCATGTCGTGCAATGCTGTGGAGGTCAGAAGAGGGTTTTGGATTCCCCAGGAACTGGAGTTAAGGACGAGTCATAGCCGCCATGTGGGTGCTGGGAATTGAACCCGGGTCCTCTGCAAGAGCAATCAGTGCTCTCAACAGCTGAGCCATCTCTCCAGCCCCTTTTTTGGTCTTTTTTGAGAAAGGGTCTCCCTGTAGCCCCAGCTGGCCTGGAACTCACTATGTAGACCAGGCTGGCTTCGAACTCATGGAGATCCGCCTGCCTCTGCCTCCCAAATGCTGGGAAATTATGATATTTTTATATAAGTATATAATATACTTTGATTATATTCATTCGCCATTAACTTCTCATGTCCACCTTCCACTCTCGATGATTCCCTTCCTCTTTCCAATTAATCCCCCAATTGCTTTTTTGCTTTCATGAACCACCATGCCTGGCCAAACCCTGTCTTGATTAGATTCTTTATTTTATATTTTGGTCTTTTTGAGACGGGGTCTCCCTGTAGTCCCAGCTGGCCTGGAACTCATTATGTAGACCAGGCTGGCCTTGAACTCACATAAGTCTGCCTTGCTTCTGCATCCCAAGTACTGGGACTAAAGGCCTGTGCCACCACTCCCACCAAGATTCTTTTTTTTTTCTTTTTTAATATTTTATTTATTATTTTTATTTTATTTTATATGTACAAATATAATGCTTGTATGTATGTAAGTGTGCCTGTGTCGTGCAATGCCCTTGGAGGTCAGAAGAAGGTATTGGATCCCCTGGAACTGGAGTTACAGATGGTTGTTAGCTTCCATGTGGGTGCTGGGATTCGAACCTGGGTCCTCTGCAAGAGCAGCCAGTGCTCTTAACTCCTGACCCATCTCTCTAGCCCCAAGATTCTTTTTTTTTCATATTTTATTTGTTATTTTTATTTTATGTGTGTGAGTATATTGCCTGCATGTATATTGTGCAATACTCGTGGAGGTCTGAGTAGGGTATTGGATTCCCCTGGAACTGGAGTTATGGACGGTTATAGCCACCATGTGGGTGCTGGGAACCGAACCTGGGTCCTCTGCAAGAGCAGCCAGTGCTCTTACCTGCTGATTAGATTCTTTTTTTGGTTGTCCTTGTCTTATTGAGATAGGGTCTTCCTGTAGCCCTGGCTGGCCTCAAACTCACTATGTAGACCAGGCTGACCTTAAACTTACAGAGATCCATCTACTTCTTCCTCCAGAGTGTTGGGATCAAAGGCATGGGCCACCACCCTGACTTTTGATTAGATTCTTTTTTAACTTTAAAAAAATATTTATTTTTTATTTTATGTGTATGAGTGTATTGCCTGCACGTATGTGAGTGCACCTGTATGGTGCAATGCCGTGGAGGTCAGAAGAGGGCTTTGGATGCTTTGGAACTGGAGTTAAAGACAGTTTGTAGCCATCATGTGGGTGCTGGGAATCAAACCCGAGTCCTCTACAAGAGCAGTCAGTGCTCTTAACCACTGAGCCATCTCTCCAGCCCCAACCCTAGATTCTTTTTAAAAATATTTTATTTTGCTGGGTGGGTGGTGCATGCCTTTAATCCCAACACTTGGGAGGCAGAGGCAGGTGGATCTTTGTGAGTTCGAGGACAGCCTGGTCTACATAGTGAGTTCCAGGACAGCTGGGGCTACAGGAAGACCCTGTCTCAAAAAGACAAAAAAAAATTATTATTTTTATTTCATGTGCATTAGTGTATTGCCTGCATATATGTGAGTGCATCCGTGTCGTGCAAGGCCTCGGAAGTCAGAAGAGGGCTTTGGGTTTTCCTGGAACTGGAGTTAAGGATGGTTCATGGCTGCCATGTGGGTGCTGGGAATCGAACCCGGGTCCTCTGCAAGGGCAGTCGGTGCTCTTAACCGCTGAGCCATCTCTCCAGCCACTTGATTAGATTCATAACAACAAATAA